TTTGCAAATTATACGAGCTTAATAAAGAATTGAAAATTATTTATCCTCTACATGCAAAAGGAAAATAAAAAGGTATGAAGGTAAATAAAAAGCCTAGCATTTTTTAATATATCTAAGTCAGTTCTCTCACCAGTAGTGAGCTTGAAGCTCAAGACAAAATAATTGACTTCCTCAAGAGGATAGAGCTTGTTGTTGATGTTTACAAGTTAACCTTTCCTATTGTTGTCAACAAGGTTAAGTATTGGGATAGGTGCGAGGTAACTTTATACAATGCTTACATTACCAAATTATTTTACCAACACTTAGCTCGTTTTCCCTTTGCGGACATGTCAGCCTAAGGTGAACCTTTTGACTAGACTCATTTTGTGCATGTCTTAAAGGCAAAAGGCAGGGGTGAAACCCTATCTAGCTCGGTGCTCTTTCAATAGGCATCAAAATAATTGATCCACCTCCTCATCAACCTTCTTCTGGCTCTATTACACCTTAGAAAGGGCAAAAGAGCATGGTACAGAGGCTTTAAAAGAACTCAAAGATTGAGGCATCATTTTCCAAGCCAAGCACAAGATTGTAAACACCCATCTATGTCCGAAGTCAATCAAATCAATTTTCATCATTGGTATTATTTTTATATTATATTATATTATTATTTTTTGTTATAGTATATTATTATTATTATTATTAGTACTATAATATAATATTATATTTTATACTACTACTACTACTACTACTACTACTACTACTACTACTACTATTATTATTATTATTATTATTATTATTATTATTATTATTATTATTATTATCATTATTATTTTATTTTTATTATTTTTATTTTTTCTTCATTCCTTTTTTTTTCGATTTTTGGCAAGAATTGTGAAAATGAAAACTGAATTAGCCAAATTAGAATATCATAATCAAATGTTTTTAATGATAAATCAAGCCTAAATAACTAACCAAATTCAATTGGGACTAAGTTAAAATCTTAAACTAAGGCTCGGGCAGAATCAAATTCCAAGATTCAAGCCTAGATTGATTCTGCCTATTTTCTAAAATTTGTCCTAAAGGTGTTTGTAAATTGAATAGCTCTCAAAGAATATAAGACACAGTCATTAGAGGGAAAGGAAAGCTTTGGAAAGATTCTGGATGTAGGTTTCAATTACCGAGAACTTTGGGTTCTGAAATTCTGAAATTTGATTATTGAAGCTTGATGGGAAGTTTACAGGTTTATATTTAGGTTTATGGGATTAGGTTTAGGTTTTTGGGAGATTTCTAAAGAGATATAAAAAAAACCTAGGTAAAATATGGGAAATTTTTTGGTTTTTTTGGGAAATCTGGGGTTTTAGGAAAAACATGAATTTTCGATGAATTTCCTAACGAAAGGTTGAATTTTTTTGCCACATTCGGGCTAATTTTTCAAAAACCAATGGTTTTTAGTTTTCAGTTGAATTTTCATGTGACTTTTTTAGAAATCGATGGAGTTTTCAATCTGCAGTTGAAGTATCCGACAATGTTCTTGGCATTTCTAGAGAGAAGTTAGAGCTTCTCAGTCTAGAAAGAGAGAGCTAAGGCTTTTGAAGCAAATAACACTACGAAGTGCCTTTTATAGTAGCCCAAAACATTGTCATTTTGGCACACCCAAATCTGCGTTCTGACCCACTAACCCGTATGCCAACCCATGCATTGACCCGACCCAAATCGTAGGTTTTCTTTTTTTCATTTTTATTTTATTTTCTTTTATTTTTATTTTCTTAACTTTTTTATTTTTAGTTTTTTTATTTAATTTTACTGGTTTTCAAAAAAAATCTTTTCTAGAAAATAGAATATTCAAAAAAATTTTAAAAAAAAACCTTTTCAAATAAGTTTAATAAAAATAAAAAAAATCTTTTTTAAATATAAATCCTTGGAAAATAATTCTTGAATTCTACCAAACTATTAGAGAATTTTCATGGATTTAATTTTCTAAATAGAATCTACCAAACTATATTATAAGTTGAAGATACATCCACCGTCATAAACTCAATAACCAAGATAATGCTCATTGGCTTAGAACCCAACGAGATCAGCAACTTAGTAAATTTTTTCACTGGTACCTGTTTATTTTCAATGTTAATCAACGTATGGTGTATAATTTCAACATATTTTTTATGCCTATTCTTAATATCATGGCATAATATAAGACGTTTGTTGAGCCCCAATTATCAAATAAGATCCTCTTCACATCATGATTATACATAACAGTAGTAATCACAATAGCATCATCATGTAGGAATTAAGTCCCTTCTATGTTTTCTGAAGTGAAAAAAATTGACTCATCATTCTAGCTCTTATCTTTCTTGGCCGAAAACATTATTGCCATCAACATTGCTTAATCAAACTTTCTTTTGGTCAAGGTAGAGCTCCCCACAGTTATTACATTGCTAATGTCCATAATAGGCCTATTATCTATAGCTCGTCTTTCCTTTTCCTACTCGTTCCTCGGGTTTTTGCCACCTTTGTTTTCTTCTCCATTTTCCCTTTGATTCTTTCCTATCATTTCTTTCTAATTCTTTTTTTAAAATCTAATATACCCTGACACTATCTTGTTTAGTCAACAAACTTGCATAACTGACCTCTTTTGATTAGATCATCTATTTCATTCTTCAGGTCAATACAATTCTCGATGTTGTGACTGATGTCTTTATGGAAAATGCACATCTTTATGGGGTCTTTTATGGTGTTGTGCCTCAGTGGCTTCGACCATTTGAGCTCATAATCCTTTTCAATATGCATCAAAATCATTTTTCCAAAGGTATTCAATGTAGTGTAATTTTTTCATTAGTTTGGGTTCTTAACCTTTGGGTACCTTGATTTTCTCCTTCTTAGGGGATCATAGTTTCTTTTCCCTTTTCTTGGACTGAGGATAAAGGATGAGCCTCTCTTACCTCGGTTATTTTTCATTGTAACTTTAGCATTAATGTTTTTCTTTGCAATGAGTACCACGTTGGTCAATGTTTTTGGTAGCTCTAAGGAAAGGGTAACTTTGAAATGGTATTATATATTATTAAGCCCTTTGGTAAGAGTAATAATAGCAACTGCTTATTTCAAGTCTTTTACTTAAAGGGTTTTCATATTAAAATACATGATGCAGTATTTTAAAAACTTATTTCTACCCATAGATCAATATCAGACTGAATGTAGTTTTATTGGTTCATTGGTTACTGACAAATTTGGATAGAAAAAAGTGGTTAGGCTGTTTGAACATAGTCATAAAACCTCGGTTCTAAACTACAATACCAAGGCTGAGCTACCCATTTAAGCACAATGGCTAATCTTTTGCACATTAAAGCTTTATCGACTTCCTACATCATCATATTAGTCCAATAAAGCTTTAAATTATCAAAAGGGTCAATAATACTATCATATATCTCCCAAGGTCAGCATCTTGAACCCTTTTGGGGTATAGTTTGCTCTATCTCCTCAATGAAAAGTGAGGTCTATAAAAAGTTTAGCTCGTCTTCAAATGCAGGCTTTTTCTTTCAATTTTTTCTTCATGGCATGCATCCAAGTTTGCAGGTCTTTGTTTAATTGAGGTTCAAGAATGATCTATTTGGACTTTGGGGTGGTGGTTTGTGTTAAGGTGTAGGTATGGTGATGAATGGCTGAAGTAATGTGTTCTTGTTCTCTTGAAACTGAGAAAGCTTCAGTGTCATCATAGCTTGGTAGCTTTTCTTGATGTGGGTTTCTTAGGGTGATCGAATTAGCTACTTTGGATGTTTGTGGTGGAGTGAGGTTTTGAATCATCTCTTTAAGAGAATGCAATTGTTAGTTTAAGGCTAAAAACTGCTCCATTATGGGTCCTACTAGTGCAAATTGGTCTATGGGTTAGCTAATTTAGGTTTTTATACGAACACGACAGTTGTTTTTCCTTCCTTGAGAACTTTATTTCTCTCTGACATAATGTTTTAGCTTAGCTAGAAAAACAAAGCCCCCTACATGGTGCACCAAATGTTGGTGCCAAATTGAGCTGCTAAGTGTAAAACCTTGAAATCAAATATGAAAAGAAAAATAGTAGTTAAAGATAAAGGCTGAGAGTAGTCTCAACATTTGTGTTCTAGTGCTCAAGTCAAAGATCGACAGAAGAAAATAAAAGAAAGAAAAATATAAAAAAAGCATAAAAGAGCAAGATGGTGAAATGGTATCTGAATGGTCTTATTCATAATTGTAATAAAAAGAAACATGGGCAGCCTAGGCTATTTGAGTTAAGCTTTAAGACCTAGGATGATTTGGCAAACCAAGCTAACCTTGATGTTAATCGTCTACTTTAGAGGTGATAAGTCAGTTTATAAAGGGACCTACTTGCTAAACTAATAAGGTGGCTGAGCTAATATGGTCACATACATCAAGTCTGCCTGACACGTTAGCTCAGCTCAAAAATAAAAAATATCCCTAACTGTCTACTAATAATCGCTAATGAAAAAATATATTTTATCTTTTAAACCTAAAAATGGCCCTAACAATTTCATACTAACAATATATATACATATATATATATATTTATGTGTATATATATGTATGAGATATTATATATCTATATATTTCTTTTTTAACTTTATCAAAAATTAAAAAAAAAAATCTTTTAGTTTTAATTAGCTAGATATATTGAAAGACGCAAATGTTAATAGACTTTTAATTTAGGCTTTTTGTGGGCATAAAAGAATGGAAAAGAGAAAGACAAATATGAATAGCCCTTAGTGGGCCCCTGAAACACACAAGATATAGGCTATAGCCCAAAGTCATGAAAAGGTCGCCCAAAGTAATCAAAAAGCCAGTTTATTACCGTATGTAAAATGAAAAATGCGCATCCGGGGAATCGAACCCCGGTCAGTACCGTGGGAGGGTACTATGATACCACTACACCAGATGCGCTAGTATAGTGTCTGTGAGCAAATATTTAAATAAAGATAAAAGTTTTATGGAATCCTTTTTCTTTCTTTTTTTTCCCCTTAAAACCCAGGGGGAGGGGGGGGGGGAGAGCTGAAAATTCTTGTTCATCAAACTTGATTGTCGAAAGCACAAAATGATAAGAGTTGGTTCACTAGTTGTAAATACTTACTGTATAAATCGAGGCTCAGAAAAACGAAAAAAGATGCAAATACATACAACACAGTGAAGTTTTATCATGAACTGGCTCCTCCATACATAATATCTTTTTTTTTATTAACCTTTAACAAAATCATTAATGTAAAATTCCAGCATGCAGTAGCTAAACAAGACAGAAAGGACCACAATAAAGAGAATACGCTGCAGTCATCGACAACCCAACTCAACTCTTCCTTCTGCACCGATAGTTGTATTTGTACATAGCTTCTGAAGATCAATGTAACCTATTATGGTATCTTCAAAAACTGCATCTTCCAGCTGAGCATTATCAAAAGTAGAACCAGATAATACAGTGTTCTTAAACACTGCTCCTTGGAGATTGGCTTTTCCAAAATTAACTCGATCCAAAACAGCATTCGAGAAGTTTGTACCTGCAAATATTTGGTCATTTTCTTCTGTCTAAACCTATAACATGGTTTATTTATTTTCAACATTTATGCTCGCTAAAGACTAGCAAATGAAAGTATGGTGATCAGTTTTTGCAAATTCCTCATCTTTTATCATTGAGTTTCATTAAGCAAAGAACTATCTTTATAGTTCTTTAAAAAAAAATGACAGTTGCTTGTGGTATATTTGTCATTTACAAGTAACTTCCAAGACCTTAATGGAACTCAAGGAAGCTATTGAGGTAAGGATTTTGAGAAATGAAAATGTGATGAGTGAAAAGCAACAAAATGATTTTAAAAACATCCCTCGTTCTCTAATTCTCATTCATCGTTCTAGCAGTAGTCCAGTATATAAGGAATTATGGATGGTGGCACTCTAGGTTCAAGACAACTACCAAATCCGTATGTTTTCTCATACTTAAATGATATTTGATCTAGATCATCTTTCTGATCCTGACCAGAATCTTGGAGAATGTTTAGTCATAGCAATCAAAATAGAATATTTCTTTTATTTTTGCATTGTTCTTGTCAAATAGTTGTTTTCAATGCATATATAGTAGTTTTCTCAAGAACTTCAGTTTTGTCATAATTCACTTGCAGGATGTGCTCCAAAACAGTCATAGAAAGAATTAAACAATCATTACTTTCTTAAGGCCTAAAATCAGAACTAACCAAATAATTGTGCCAAAGTTTGTCAAACGGATAATGCACAAGTAGTCTCCTAAGACAGAAATAATTGGCATTGTTCAAAAATTTTGATCTGTAGCACGGTAGATTATTTCAGAAAATGCAACAGAAAGAAGATACAGAAGATTACCCTTGAAGCTAGCTCCCACAGCATAAGCCTTTGACATCACAGCTTCTGACATGTCTGCACCATCAAACTTAGCATCTGACATGAGTGCTGCTGCAAGAGACTTTCCCTTCAGGTTGGATTTTTCATTAGTGTAATTGCAAAAGCGTAGATCAAGTGGCTTATCATATACACCATTTGCCTGACCTATTGTATTACCAACAAATGCACGCTCACATCGGTTGGGCTCTGTTGACAGTGGAGGCAGCCTCTACATGGCAAACATATTTACAGTCTTTTAGCCTTTGTGTATCTTGAAATTAGAAACTATTATGATCAACAACATTGTTATTTGGAATCACCAGAGGATATGCGAACTTTTATTCTTCACAGCTATCTTTACCCAGCAAGCCAATTTGTACAGGATAAATAACTTTTGGCAACATAGATGGACAGTTTGATACTAAATTAGTAATAATTAATTAGGCAAGTTTTTGTATAAATTTCATCATGTTTCTTATTTCTGACTGAGATATAGGAAAGTTCAAGTACATCAGCTGTTCAACAAAATGGTTGACTAGAATGAGAGCTTTTGCTTTGGCATGAAACAAATAGACGCTAAAAGTAGACAGGTAAGGTAAATTGAAGTTTGAAATAACAATTGATTGCAAGAACGTTTATTGCCATGCACCAAAATTCGAAAGCTTACAACCGCTTAAAGTGAAACTAATGGAATAAACAAGACTCAGTGGTGGATCAACATTGTGAAGTGAAGTAGGGTGTTCATGGACACCCCAAAATTTGGAAAATATGAAATTTTAAAAGAAAAAATTTTTCCTGCACCTCCAAAATTTTCCCATGGGCACCCCAAAAATTGGAAAATAATAAAATTTAAATAAAACATTTTCCCTAAACACTCCAAACTTTTCCTATGGACACCCTTTCAATGATAAAATTAGTAAATCTGTAGACAGTTTCTTATATATTATAAGCGGACACCCTCTGAAAAAAAATCCTGGATCCTCCACTGACAAGAGTCCCTAATTTATGATGAATTATTAAGGCCTAAAAGGAACTATCCAACAACTTAGGTGTCCTCAGTCCACTGCAATTCTTAAAATACAAGCTGTAAACCTAATCCAAACAAATCATATGCAAATAGGCTTAAACAGACACTAACAATAGTGCAGCTGTTAACCTGATTAGCCGCAATTACAGGTGAGGCAGTAGCAACAGCGCATACAGCAAGAAGGCCACAAGCTACACTCTTCAGTTCCTTAAATGGGGATGAGCTTTCCTCGGACTTGGACACACATTTGCTAGCTGCTTCATGACAACAAACATGAAAATTACTCATCAGCTTCAGTAACTGAAACAAATTAGCACCTACCTAGGCTGCTCATTAAGTTTCAGACAAGAACTCAACAACATAATCACAAACTTGACAGGAACTTAGGACAGCATCAACAATTGAGATTACCCACATAATGGGAACTTCCTTTTTTGTTTTCTTAGACAATCATTAATTCCTAGGTTGATCTATTATTCCAAAATTCAAAAAGAGGGGGAAAAATAAAGACAGAATTTGGAAGATTTTAGGAAGAACAAGGCATACTAGAAGAACAGCTGATTCTGATAGGTAGAGGGAGTTGAAGAAGAGGACAGCCATGGCGTTTCGTTGATAATTGTCGTAAGAATAAAGTGTTATGAGAGAGTGGAGTCGATAAGGTCGACATTCTTTGTGTGTATGCTCTTTCTATCTCCCTATCAGTCGAAGTCCATCGCGGGTTTATCCATAGCAGCAGGTACACACATCTATCTGACCTGGCTTCACACGTAGGATGTCGGTAAATCACCTAAGCCCAGGAGCTTGCCCATTTTGGACGAAGCTTGGGCTGGTTTTTCAAACCTAAGCCCGACCGAATCAGTTAGAATTCCGTTTTAGTATTTAGCGGAAAAAATGTGTTAAAAGGCAAAAATATAAGAAGAAAGCAGATAATTTGGTCTGGTTTACCTGTGAACCTTTGACCCTCGCTTCCTCCTCAAGCTTAGGGCTTTGAATTTCAAAGCGCTAAAAAACCAATCAAAACCAACACCCCCCCCCCCCCCCCCCCAAAACCAATCTGATAATTCTGCACAAGAATGGAAAACAATCAGGGCGGCTGTTTGTCAGACATGGCGGCGTGGCTGGGAACCAGCGTGGCCCAAGCCTTCTTCGCATCGCTCGAACGTTGTTCTTGCATAAACCTCTCTACCTCCGACGATGCCGATGATTCCGAGGCCCATGATCGCCCCCTCATGTTCACCAATTGCTCCTCCATTTCGTCATCTGTTTTCTCAAGGGCCAACAACGACAACCCTCCTCCTCCAAACGACGTCGTTAATCTCCCCGTCTAAATCTTCCATTCCATGCCTCCACCTGGGCTGGGCTGGCTACCATCTTTCTGGGAATGTTCCTAGGTTTTCGATTTTGTCTTTCTTTCATTTATGTGAATATTGATATGAGCTCTTCTGGGTGTTTGTCTTTGTTCAAATGCGTTTTCTTATGTTCAGGTTTGTGAGAAATTTCGAAGTTATTCCTTGGAAATCATTCATCAGAGGAATCTGAATCACTGATATGTTTATTTTGTTTTTGTCTTTGGAATTATCAATAATATTAATCAGGGTTTTTATAAGTAGCTAAGATTTGTGAAATCTTAATTCCAAGACTGATACATAATCTTATCATGATTCATTCTAGAACTTATAATTCTGGGGGACTAATTTTGATCTTTGTTGATGTCGCCTGGGTTCAAAACCAAGTCATGCTTGTTTTAGTAACAGTAAGATTTTCCCTTGTTTTATTCGGCTGCATTATCAACAATTTCTCTTACCACCAAAACAACATGATGTACGATTTGTGAATAATCATGGCTGTTAGTTGTACCGTCCAACGACCAATTAAGGATGCAATCCAGATTGTAATTGAAAATGCAATTGAGGTTCTGCTTTTCTCAACTACTAGTATTGTTCTTGACAACATATTTATGTAGAAGGGAGTAATATGCTTATTTTATGCATAAGCACTCAAAATTCAAATATTTAAAAAAATATACTATTGGGAGAAGGAAAGATAAATTACATTGGAAAATTTTTACTTCCCAAATTGGGTTTTTCATCTATGAGGTATTTGATGCATCAAAATTTCATCGGACCTCGCTAGCATGTCAACATCTTCTTGTTTCATGGTTTTAGCACCAATTGCCTCAGGGCTCAGGTCCTTAAGGAATATGATTATCCGAAAGAAAGGGAATCCATTGAATTATTGGAGTTGATGAGATGATTTGAGATGTTCTACACACTACATATGTCCTTATTCTTTCTCTCTATCTTTCTTTCTTCTAACCTTTTTTTCTTCTTTGCTTCTCTTTCAACCATTGTTTATTCAAGGAAATTATGGCATCCAAGCAATAGCCCCTTGCATTCTTCAAGGGAGATTGAAAGTTGAACCTGCTGTCCAAAGTAAACCCCCCCCCACCCGGCAGCATGTTCTGTACAATTGCCTCCCTTGGCACCAAAACGCAAAAAGATCGTGTCAGTCATTGGAAGCCCTATAGGCCTAATGGTCAATCACCTGATCATCATCAAAACCAGCTGCTTTTTGGGCCTTCTCTTTAACGATCAATCGTCCAAGGAGTTCAGCTCAGGGCTAGACAGATCTTTTTTTAGCCCATTAGCTGACCAAATGCAATCATGTTGGGCTGGGATTTATAAAAAATGTGGTCACACACATTCATTTTTGTTACACTCACAACTCGCAATCGTTCCCTTCCCTTGGAAGGGAAGAGGAAATAATCAAGGCAGACAAGTAAACGTGGTAAAAACTAGCCTTTCGCCCTCTAATCAAGAAATCATCTTCAGATCGTTTTAAAATGAACGAGGAAAACAAAGAAGCATTACAAGATGGCCAATTGGATAGCTAATGGCATAAGTTGGTGGCCTATTAGCATGGGAATTAGGTTTTTAAAGGAAATAAAGTGGAAAAGAGAACAGAAGACAACATGATTAAAAAGATAATCATTGTTTAAAAGATTAATCAATGAGGTATAACCAAACAGATATCACATGTCTCTTTGTCGGGACCTTTTGTTTGCATTTTGTCCTAACATTGTTTTCTAAAAGCAAACTAATCAGTCTCTTGTTCTGTCTCATGTGGTCCGGCTTTTAATATTTGAATACAACGTGTTACTGTTCTTACGTGATTGGATTGTCCTATGCCACTGCTGGCCTAACAAAACCAAAAGAAAAAGATGTACACTGTCCTCTAATAATCAAATAATCCAAGAACATAAGAAATTAAGAATTCCTAGTGATCTGCCTTCTCGTAGATTGCTATATCAAACCAACAAAAAAAAAAAAAAAAAGGTATAAACTTAGGTTAACAGCTAAGCCTAATACACTGAACTTTGTTCCTTCATAACTAATCATGTTTTGTTTCCTAATCATCTCCTAATTCCGGTACCTTCGCACATGTTAATATCAATTAATTTGTCTTATTTGCTAATTATCCTTTTTTTTTTGGTTAAATTTTCTCTTTGAAATTTTGTCCTTGAATGTGCCATGAACATTTGGTTAACTTTGATTTGGTATTATGGCTTGTTTCTCAAGGTCAAGGTGACGTTTTATTAGGAGGAGCATATGCTTCAACTTTGAACTTACTGGTTTTATTTTATTTGCTGTTTTCAATTTTGATCCTTAGTTTTGTAATTGTCTTTGGCCTCGGATTCTTGTTTTGTCAATGTTTTTACCAACACTATGCTTTGTCATCTTTTAAACCTCTTTTACTTTCCATCTTTACATTCACCAACAATCATATCCCGGACAATGAGAACCTCTTTTATTAAACCTCGCAATTGCCTACCATGATAGTTTTTTTTTTTTTTTTAACTTAAAAAAGGCTATAATTTAAGAATTAAAAAAAAATTATAAATGTTACATTTGACGAATACCACCTCTAAATATGAATGCATGAACCTAACTAAACTTCGAGTTCTTTGGTAATGTTCTTTTCTTTATTTTTCTTTATTTGTAAAAGAATAAAATAAAACCTTAATAGAAAATAAAGAAAAACCAGGAAAAAGAAAAATCTTAATTGAAATAGTTATATGGAAAATCAGTATGGAAAGCTATAAGCATTCATATGGTACTAAACATCTTTGAATTTTAATCAATCTTCATCACAAGCCGAAAATCATAAAAGGGGAAACAAAAAATGGTTCTTAGTCCAATGAGTGCTACAGCATATATACTCATTTACTTGGGAGAAAAACCAACCCAAAATGATTGAATTTATTTACAGTAATAAAATTACATTTGGGCCAAACTAAAGCCATTTCTATACGAGTCTAAGCCTTCAAAAAAAAAAAACATTCGAATTAACTCTATTGGATGTTAGTATAAAAAATCAAAGCACTACATCTATCAATTGTGTTAGCAAGCAAAACTGAAAAAGGATTATTGGCATCGAAGCAATAATACCGTTAGCCAATTGTCAACTGCAAGGATTAGTAACAAACAGGATGTGAAAGGAATGCGTCGACTGGAATTGTGCTCTGCAAACAAAAATGGTATGCATTCAAGCACTATAGTCAGTAGGGAAGCCTGTTCAGTGAAAAATAAGACCCGGAAAATTCCAACTCCATGACCAGATTGGAATGGCCCTAACATGAGGCAGATCCAAAATGGCAGACAAATGATTCAATCATTCAAAGCAGCCAATATACGATAATGGAGAAGTCCCCTGCCATTTTTTTCCCAAATGAACTGCGACCACCAGCTCTGGATTCCGACTCCTATTTAAGAGAACAAAAGGAAGAAGCTGGTTTACAAGGCCCCACAGGCCACAGGCCACAGGCGCCTCCATTATACATATAATATCTCAATTGCCTTCTCCTAACAAGACTTGTATAATCTTCTCTGGGTCGGCAGAATGACCAATCATAAAATTAACCTTGGTCACTCCTTCATTACAAGAAAGATTTCATTGCAACCATAGAATAGCAACCACTTGTGTCCAAATTCAGTTGCAGACCTCTGAAATCTTAGATGAGCCCGCAGAAAACCTCAGATTCTCAACCATCTATCTAAGCAGTGCATGCCTATCAAGCATTCAGCCCTGAGCATGCCAAGGCAGTTGATGCTGTCATACCTATTCAAGCTCAACATAGTATCAACCTCAGCAAGTCAATCCATGTAGGCAGCAAATATGTAAACTGTCCCATTTCTAATTCTCTGATGCCTTTACTAGGCCACTAGTATTTTTCAAACAGGTACTGGTAAACCATAATTGAGGAATGATCTAATTCTTCCATCCAACCCTGCTGTCACTATAACAAGACCCCATGCGTGAGAATTAAATGTACTCTGGCATGAAGTTTTCAGAAACTTGTACTGGGATTTATTCATTGAAGATGACACAGACAATGGACTGGATGGAGGAAGTGTTTCCTCTGGCCAAGTCGCACATCCCTTGGGAAAAGACTCCAAAAAGTATTCATGGCTCAGAGAGAAATAAGCTGGTGAGGAAAATGGCAGGTTATCGGGTAAATTCTCATTCAATACTTCAAACTGCCTTCCATTTTCTGCGTTCCCACATTTCAGGCCACACCAAGGGATTGCAATGGATGCATTAGCAGAGAATCGCTCACAAGATCTTATATCTTTAGCCTGAGAGTGAGTAGGCTCATCCTGATCAACGAAATTCCATATATATACATTAGCATCCTCACAAGCTGAAACAATATGCTTCCCATCAGCAGTTAACGATGTGAATGTCTGATTTCCATTGTTACGTGCTCCTGAGCAATGACAAAGAGATAGCTTAAGTTAGGAGAAGAATAAGAGTAAGGAACACAAAGATCGTCTTTCAAATTCAGCGTTTAATAAATGTAAGAAACTCAGGTGTCCAATTGCCCAGGTGATGAGTTGGAGCAAACCATTATTATGATTAAAAGGTAGAGAAAAAGAATATACCCCTGTATTTGCAGATCACATTCAGCCCTTGAAGAATTCTGACTTGTGAATCAGCACAAGTAACCATTACTTTGCTAGAATCTTGTGGCAAAAACTGGAATGAATAAATATAATGAGCAAAAACTGCACATATTTAAGACAAGCCAGTATGGACCGAGGCAGGGATGAGAATAACTACCTGCAAGCCAGTTATCCTTCTGCAGGGTGACTTCTTTTTCCCATTTAAGCATACATGAGCATCCAGTTGCAAATGATTGTCTGAATAAAGCAACATAAAAATTGGTTTGTTTCAGAATCCATCCAACTATAAATGCTGCTTCATGAAAGAAACATATATCTAAACCCTATGCCAACCATATCACTTTCAGATAAAAGTCCAAATTGTTACATTTGTTAGATAAGGCTACTCACTTTCTTTCCAATGCATAGCACAAAATTTGAAATACTGCTTTTAGATAACTTCAACAGAAACACATTTCTAAAGCCAGGCAAGCACAAAGCTAAGTATAAGGATTCTGTTTGACAGATGTATTTTTCATTTCAAATCAGCTCCTTCAGCTGCTTGGTAATTTATCTAACAAATCCCTATGTGTACCACATAGCAGTAAAGAACATTTTACCTGAATCCAGTTAAATGCTTTGCTTCTTCAATCTGAGAATTTTTACAAGCTTGCCCACTAGAAAATTTTGTTTGTCTTACGTAGGTTTTTAGTATCTTTTCTACAAGAAGTTTCAAGAAACAAACCAAAAGTGCTCCTCTATAATGTAAGTAATCTCTGATATGCCTATCAACTGTGTATAATGAATAGAAATGGAACAATCACACGAATAAATATGAATCCATACCAGACAGAGCATACCTGACATATTGTAAAAGCGACAACTGCCTGTCATCGAGCCAACAATTCCTCCCTGCATCAATAGAAAAAAGATTTTTTTACATCACAGTTCAAACAACTCAACCATGTGATTGTGATCCCCTGGAAGACAACGGGGTAAGAAAATCACCAAACCTGTCCATCTGGGCGATAACACACTGCAGTAACTATATCTCGTACATCAGTCCAGTCAACAACCTGGCAGCCAGAAATTGACCAAATACGCACTTTTCCATCTATTGAACCGCTAATGAAGTAATTGTCATCCACAGGGTTAAACTGAACACAGGTTACTGCATAATATTATGAGAGGTAATCCTTTATCAGTAGTCAGGACAAGAACATGCCCAAACTACAAAAGAGCTTACTGATACTTCAATTGAATAATTACATGTTAAATAATGCATGCACACAGACAGACAGAGAATCAGCCAGAAGCGCACCATAATTACTATGAGAAAACACTCTCAGGCAATCGTGACATCCAACTTGCCACATACGAACAGTTTTATCAACTGAGGAAGACAGCAGAAACTGCAACGTCAACACAGAAGTCAGACGCATTAAACGAGAATCTTAGTTTGATGAAAAATTTTTCTTTTGCCTTCTCTTATTTGGTGGTGATTATGAAAAACATGAACAAAAATCTGTAGACTCACATTTTTCTTTGACCATGAGAGATCCAAGATCTCACCATCGTGCCCAAGGAACTCATGCAATGGTTTCTCCAATAGCCGGAAAACTTTGGGAGGGAAGATAACACAAGCTGAATCAGAAGTTTTTCTAAGGCTCCTTAAATTGCCTGCTTTTTCCTTATCCACAAAGAGGGGTTTCATTTCGGAAAGATGATTCACTGTAAAGTATATGCAGGAAGGATCTATTTCTGGAATGTCAAGGTCATTGCACCTCAGATCTTCCACCACTTGCCACACTCGCACAACTCCATCTTCACCAGCACTTGCTAGGAACTGCCCATCAGGACTGAACTTCATTGTCAAAATTGAACCTTCATGGGCCTGGATATCTTGTCCCTTATAGAGTGCAGAAAGTTCCTTTGTTCTTTTCCTGCTTTGATGGACCTTAACACTCTGAACCTTAGTCCCCAAAACTGAATCATCTCTATTGGCTCTCAGTCTATCATCTTCACCCTGTCTATCCACAACACATGCTATTGAACGCAATTTACTCAACCACCTGTTCTTAACTCTCTTCGTTATTCCCTCTGACTTATTCTGCTTCTCAACTTCCCTGTCCCTAACTTGTCGAAAGGAGGGAGATGATACACAAGGGTCCTCGAACTTCTTGCCTGTTACCAACTGCTCTGCTCTCATTTCACAGCCTTCACTTGTCTTCCCATCCTGCCCCATTTTATCAACATCACACACTGCTCCCCAACCCTCATTTCCTTCTCTGCAAACAAAATTATCTCGCAAACTTGATTCCACAGACAAATCAGAATTATCATTAGACCAACAAGACATGGAAGATCGGCTCGAAGAAAACTCCCCTTCGAAGCCAGATGTTCTCAAAACAGCATCACTGGTTTCCCTAACCCTGTCAATTTCTCCTTCCAAACGAGGTTCATCTACTGAATTCTCATGCGAAATTCGATCTAAACTCACTCCCATCCAATCCAAGAATTTACTACGCCTTTCCTTAACACTTCGTGGGCTATGAATCCATATATCATATTGGGAACTACTCTCAGACCAATTATCAAAACCAAAATTTGAATGAGGTATCTCCATGTAATTAGAATTTAAACCAGGCATTGTCGCAATGTGCTCATAAGCATCATAAAATGAACATTCTTCTTCTTCTTCGCTTAAGCTACACATTATTCTTTGAGTTCAACCCATGAAACCCTCAGGAAAAAAAAAAGAAAAGAAAACAACTTTTTTAAGCCCTAGGCAATGTGGCAGATTCTAAACTCCTTCCACACAAGCAACCCCAGAAAAAAGAGAAGGCTGAAAAAAAATGCGAAAAACAAGAAACACAAAACACAAGATCAGTTTAACAGAAACAAAGACTAATTAAATAGAAGAAAACAATTGATAACAATACAAAAAAAAAAAAAAACCCAAGAGATCCAAAACGGATTCCAATCCAAACCCATTGAACCTAGTCCTTTCCATTGAATTAAAAAAAAATCCAAACTTTAATATAGAAATGAAAACCTTTTTAGTAACAAAAAAGAACCCAAAATTTTGCAATAAATTAAGGGGCCAAAACAGTTTTCAGCACACAGAGATCACAATCCATTGACAGAAAAATGAAGATATTAGAATTACATTTGAAGAAATGTAATAAACCAGGAAAGAAAAAAAAAAGACCTTAAGAAAATATCATTACTAAGTGATCAATTAAGCAAAGGGGAGATATTGGATTATATAAAAGGAAAGGAATATAAAATTGCCTTACATGGGGATTGGGCTTGTTTTCTATGAGATTTCTTTGAAACTGAAGGTGGCATAGATCGTAGCATCCATTAAAAACGTTTTTGGAGCTTTTTGAACTCTCTCTCTCTCTCTCTCTCTCTCTCTCTCTCTTGGGGAAGCAAAGGCAACACTTGACAGAAAATGGGATATATATATATATAATAAAACAAACTCTACTGTTAAAAAATCATAAAATAATAGTATGAAAAATGGAGGTAAGGGTAAAACAGGAAAGAGAATACTTTCCTTGTTATTCGTGATTCGTGAATGGCTGGACCGAGAAACGAGATTTCTAGAGTAGGGCTGTGTTTGTGAGCCGTGACTTGTTGTTCGTGTATTATTGTTATTGTTAATTTTTTTATTAAAATATTAAAAAGATTTTTAAATTTTTATAATTTTTTTTATTATACTTTAATAAATTTTTATTTTTTTATTTATTTTTAAATATGTTTTTATTTTAAATAAAAATTTATTTATGTTAATAATTTATTTAGGTATAAATTAAAGGATAAAATTTATTTTGATATAAATTAAAATTTAAAATTTTATTTAAATATAAAATAAAAATTAAAGACTAATTTAAATTTAATAAAAATATAAAATTTTATCTAAATAAAATAATAAAATTTTTATATTTTTAATTATTTTAGTCTTTTTTTTTAACAAAAGTGTTCTTCTATTGATATAAGTAGTAATATTATATTAAATATTTTTAATCAAAGACCATTTTTTAAAAAAATTACTACAAAATTATGCTAGGCAGCATATTCTCTTCCTATTTATTATAAAATTAGTTTTGATCGCATGTCATGCACGAGATATTAAAAGTATAGAATTTTAATGTAAATTTAAAATAATAATTAAAAATTATTTGGACGCTAAATATTCTCAGTTGTATTATATTATACTATAAGTTGATAAGTAAGAAAATTTTTTCACTAATCATTAAATTATTATAATTCGATTCAATGTTTAGTATATTTTTTAAAAAATAAATTAAAATATTCATTTTTAATTTAAAAATTATTATAACTAAAACAAAATTTAAAAGATTATTTAACTAATAAAAAATTATTTTCTTACGTGTAATGCTTTAATTCTAACGTTATTAGTAAAATGTTTTATGTAAAAGTTTTTATTTTTACAACAAAAATTAAAATCTGAAATGAGGTAATAAACTTATAATCCAACTTTAGGACGCATTCCTCTTCACGAGAAGGAAATACATAGCCTTGGAATCAGTATCTCGTGCTCAAAATATAAAGTTCCAATCCTTTAATTACCACAATCAAATCTTAAATTGAATTTTCCATGATCTTCCACCCCATATATATTTTTTAAGGGATTTTCCCGTGATTTTAATCAAGAAACATGCAAAAGCATTTGAAATGTTCAAAAAGTAAATGAGATCATCAATTTAGGATCAATCATAAATCGCGATTTGATGAAAGAAATCACCATTTTTATCAAAGGTATTATTAGATACAAAAGGAATTATTCACCTTTTGGTTTTTTTTTTAATAAAAGAAAATTAATTTAAAAATAGATTAAAAAATTTAAAATTTAAATCTATTAAATATCACTTTTTAATGAATTTCATAAATCAATAAGCTAAAATTTCAAATTTCATCTTTCCATACATTCAACGTCGCAAGTGGAGTAGGTGAAACATTCAACTATCTAGTACTTTGTCTACGAGTAATTAGTCAAATGTAAAATATTTGACCTTACCTTTGGAATAGGGGTTTTTTTTTTATACGTGCTCGTCATTAAGTCTTAATATTCATATAATTAATCTAGCTAGGTCATTAAGTCTTAATTAAGTAACATTTGATTGACAAACAGCAACATGACAAAAATCTGTTTTCTAGGTTTCAATGATCATCCAAATTCAAATACTTGGTTTTATTTAGAAATCTAAATTAACAAAGACTAAGTTCATCCAAGGATTAATCACGTGGGTCGATAGTCCGATAATGGTGGCGGTCGATAGTCACAAGCCTGGCAGACCGAAAAGGCTTCATTCTTGACTCCACTATCACTTTGAATCTCTCTCAATTTCATGGCCTTAAAATTAGGTGACCAACCTGACCCTTGTTTTGCAACCCTTCAAGCAATCAGCAGGAAATAGGCATGGCCATTTTTGTCTTCACAAATCTAACCCTAGACATTTTCTTGTATTTCCTAGTTTACATGATTCACTGACAAGTCAAATATGTCTGGTTCCTTGATAGGGCATGGGCGCTTCTGCCTTTGCCCATCAAAGTGCAAAACCCTTCAATCATTCTATAATGTGAAACTTCAATTGGACCCCATGTGCAATGTTCCTAATAATTGAATTTTATGTTATGAACAATTTTTTTCCAAGTATGATTTCTGATTATTGTGTGTTGTTGGAACAGCAGAATTGGACTATTCTCATCATTAATAATTGAAATTAATTGAATTATTATAAGGTTAGAAGGAAATCCACTCAATCATATTATAGAACAATTTAGCATAATATTTTTAGGTCAACTTTAGTGGGGTTTTCTTGTTCCCATCAAAGCCAAACAAAACCCAAAAAAAAAAAAAAGTCAGAAAAGCAAAAGTTATCCTTGTTTCTATATGATCAAACATTTCACCTAAGTTGGTTTGATTAGTGTTGAATTATGTCATTATTTAAATTGGCAAATGCTTTAGTCATTGTCTTAAAGCATAAAAGACACTAGTTGAAGGGGTTACAACTTTCATTATTGGTAATTATTATGTGGACAACAAAGTAAGAAATTAAGGAAGTTGGTAATGAAAGATACCCCATTACTAAGACAAGAAGACACAAACTAGACAATGGTTGATTTAATTCTACATCTACCTTTCCCTTAAAAGACTTCATTACAGAAGTTAGGCAATTAAGGACATCCCAATTGTAGACAAGAAAACACCAATTATACAAAGGGCTCTCTGAATCTACCATTTCCCATCAAAACCTTTTGTTTCAAATTAGCTTTTAGTATCGTACCTTTTTTTTTTCTTTTACATAAAATTTTAAATGAAAAGAGATTACTCTATTTCAAGATCTATGAATACTTATATTAGATTTAAAAATCATCTACCAAAAGGACGGGAGAACTTTGTACCAATAAACAGAACAATTTTTGTGTCACCATATATAAGTAGGGTAATAAGGAACTCTTAATCTACCTGATTAATTATTGATTAAGACCTTTTTCTTTTTACCAGCAATAATTGCATATTTGCAATGGAGTTCTTAGTTCAAATATTTCTTTTATAAATTTTCTTCTACTCTTTTTGGCCATACCTATTTCTTTACATGGAAAAAGTAGTAGCTCTATATTAACCATGAATTTTGCTATTTTGGTTTAAGAAGATCAAATTAAGAGAACCTATATCATATATGGGTAATTTTCAATTATATTTTAATTATTTTGATCCAAAGATAAGGTCAAAGGGAGAGATTGAGAATTAATTAGAATATTAAACTTTCTTCTTCTTAAGAAGGGTAATAATTAAGACATTATTTTGAAGGTTTAGATCATATGCTGAAACATTAATGGTTGGATACATTAATCACGATGTGGTGTTCAAAAAAGGACAAAATCTAGAGATGAAGAAAAGAGTTGTAAGTGTTGAAATTTAAATTTTAAACATTCTGAATAAAAACTTTTTAAGATAAATTGTATGAATCAATTGAATTAATTTTAAAATTTTAAAATTCAAATATTTTGCTTAACGATGAATGCATGTTTCTCCTCGTAAAATAATAGCATTTATACTATATCATAATCTCTTACCCATAGGTTTACAGTGTAAGTTAAAATAATACATCTACTATATATTTATACATGTAAAAAGAGGCTAAATGACTCTTGCTGATTGGATCACAATATATACTTTGACAACTTTGAACTGACATTGCATTTTTAATTTTAAGGAGTCTTCAACTAGAATTAAATTTCTATTTTAGAAGGATTTGGCCCTTGTGCATAGCTTGGTCAACAAATGCCATTAATTGTTTCATTTCAAGTCAGTCTCATTTTATATTATAGAGTTTATGTCATAAATAATTTTTTAAATTATATTTTATATTATGGGATTAATATCATAAATAATTTTTAAATTGTAATAAGATATTTAAACTTTAAAATTTTTTAATTTGGTACTTAAATCATAAATTTACTAATTAATGTAATATTTATTTTTAATGTGATTTATTTCAAATAATAATACATGTAGACAAATAATTTTTCAAATATCATATTAACTAATAGATTCATAATTTAATATCATAATAAAAATTTTTAAAATTCAAATATAACATTAAATATTTTATTATAATTTTAAAACATTTTTAATAATAATCTTATAATATTATACTAATAAAATGTGTGTCAGTGTCCGATTGATGATAATGTACATTCATGTGTGCTTTTTTTAAGCATCGATATTGAGAAACTTAATTTAAAAAAAAAAAGAACTATAAATTATGCAATCCGATTCTTAGAAAGTTGAAAAGGTTTTAGAAGATCGAGTATTTCTAATATTAGTTAAACGAGAATAACTTAAAATTATATGACTAACTAACACGTTTTTAACCTTTTTTTTCCCCTTAAACAGCATCATGCATGACGCAAACTTTTCCCCGTTAAAAAAGCATATATTTTAATATTAATAAAAATTAAAGATATTTTAACAAGTTTCTTAAAAGTTTTTTTTTTTAATTATTGTATTAAGTAAATTATTATACATTCAAATTTAAAATTTTAATTATTTTTAACTATGTTTAATATAAATATTATTATTCATAATAAATTAATTAATTTTATAATAAGGAATTTCACTCAAATTCTTTATATAATTATCTTTAAAAAATAATAACAAGTAAATTTAAATTTTAAATTTTAATACTTTCAATATTTTTTTATATGCCTAAATTGTAGCTTTTTTTATCATAAAAAATTTAAACAAATTTTCTAAAGACATCAATTAACAAAATCTAAAAATTAAATAAATAAAAAACAGGGTCGATGGTTTTGCAAAGCTGGGCTATAAACAAAGTCTTTGGGTTCGGATCATTGCTTCGTTGCACATGACCGCCATGTGGCATTTAGTGCTACAAGTTGTAACTTCTGGTTGCACCAGCTCCACCCTCAAATTTGCATGCATTGCATGACTTGAATAAATATATTTGTATATATTTATTATTTTATGTACACTTTGATCTCGAAAATTAAA